GGTCCAGTGTAGAGTCATATTTAAATCACCTTTTGAGGCATTTGTCTGCTGCCTTTCTTTTCTGAACAAGCTTAAACTCCGCAAGATCCTCTGAAGTGGATCTGTGGCTTCTTGCTGCTGTTGTGCCTGGGTCAGGGAGGGCAGAACTGAACCCACAGTTTAAGCAGCTCGCTCTCATTTTAATTTCACAGGTTCAGCATGGCTGGTGTAATTCATATGTAAAACCACAGCAGTCATCCAAATCTTTGCTGCCTGGGCATTGGCTGGCTGCATTTCTGGAAATTCATGGTCATAACATATACCTATTTTTTGAGTTTCCATTAGGAACCGGTTCTGTCAGGCATGATCACATTTGCAAGAGCTCAGGAGGCAGGAAAATTTGAAAAAGTGTTTATGAGTCTGGGCATAAATCACAGCTCGCAGGTTTTTCTCCCTTCTTCAATTAAAAAAAATACGTTCAGAGCAACCATACCCCACACCTACTCCCCCCATCTCCCTCCAGAAATGATGAATCCCACTCTAGCTGTAAATTGGATCCCAGGCGTACTCATATATATTATACATACATAACAGCTACTTACGGGCATAAGGACTCTTGCATAGTTACTGTGGAAACCAAGGTATCAAATTTCCTGGCTCTTAAGACTCTACCTTCTCAACCTTAATGTGCATTTACCTTGAATAAATCACTTCCACACTCTCCAACCCAGAAACATCCCTTAGTAGAGTGTGTTTGGGTTCATCTTTAGGAGGCTCCAACTAACCCCACTGCAACCGTCCCAGAGCATGGGGCTGGCTCCAACCCCGCACAACCTGCAGATGGGAGCAGCGTTACAGGAGGAGAGAGCATCCTTCTGCAGGCAGAGAACGACTTGCTCCAAGGGGCATCAACCACTCCTGGGGCAACCACTGCAGGTACTGCTGGCAGAGAAACCCCCTGCAACTCCTCTCGCTGCCTGCGCAGCATCAGGGCACTGCTTTCTTTCACAGGCACTCGTGACAACTAAAGGTTTAACTCGGTTCTGCAGGAAAGGGGAATCATTTACCAGCTACTGAAATACAGCCCAGTCTGGATGGGCATGCAGCAGCGTGGAGTGGCACAAGACACGATGCAGTGTCTTGAGGAAAATGTCATCACATCCTGCTAAGGCTCCGGAGGGACAATGTGACACTTCAACAAAAATTTCTTCCAGTTCTGGCCACGACCACACAAGAACCCAAAGATACTTCAATGTGAAGTGCAAATTCAGCCCAGATGTAACCTCAGGGACTTCAGTAGAGTTCACTGTAGAGCTGAGCCTGACCCACCTCATCTATGTGTAAGCACAGCTCAGAAATTCTCCCTGGGTAACTGTGAGAGGATCTGCTGCATACACACAGCTCATCACAGGGACGCTGATGCTGTCCTGTAAGAGGCACCTCAGCATCCAGCATGGCATTAGAAACATTCACAACAGCCAAGTGACTCTGAGGGGTGACAGTGTCAGCAGTGGCTTTCAAGATCTCTAGGACTGCTGTGCACTGTTCAACTTCCAGTTTGCCCCCCAAACTGTTTGCTAAAATTCACAGCAAGCAGCAGCAGAACTGCTCTCACCTCATTCAAGTTTCAGGATGTTTATTTTTATGATTAACTTTGGCATTTGTCAATCATACGATCTTCCTATTACACACTAGCTATGCACGCAAACTAATATGTTCACATAAGCCGAAGGACATGAAAGGCATCACCAATATACAACGAAGTGACTCGTTAGAATCCTGTCACCCTCCCCAGCACACACAGGCAGGGCCTCTTCCTGTAAAAAGCCAAACAAAAACAAGACCTGGCTCAAATGGGATGTCAAAACGTCAAACTGTAGTTACTTAATCTTTGCACTTCTGAAAAAGCAAAGATCCTGTGAAAAGAAATTATTATGATTCTTTCCCTGTTCTCTCTCAGGAACATAGGAAGAAAAGTTCGTACATTGCTACCCTCAAAAATTTTCCTAAAATAACAATGCAGTTCGGCTGTTTCCTTTCCTTACCACCTTCTAGATTCTTGAAAAAGCCCTCTCTGCCTTGTCTTCCTGGCTGGCAGGTTGTGCTGTTTGTAAAAGATCTCTTTTCCCCTCTTACCTCATACTGCCCACATCCCACTCTGATCCACCTCTCAGCGCCCGTCCCTTGGCTAAGCTTAGCAGGACTTTCTCCACAGACCATAATCACTGCTCTGAGATTAGTCGGGAGTTAGGTGTTGCAGACGGACGCACAGCCCTTCCTCTCCCACACCCAAACTCCCTGCCAAGCTCTGGCTTAGAAGTATCATTCCGGATCTTGAAATCAAACTCTGGGGTCTTGTATGATAAATCAGAGCAATTGCTGGGGCTTGGCTGTGCCTCCTTTACTTACGGCAAGTCTGGGGTGATTAACTTGCCTGAGGATTTGACAGCACCTCACCTATAGAACATATGTTACCATATTAGCAATCGTTGACAAAAATCATGCTCGTTTTGATGGGAAACAGGAGTAGGTCCTTGAAAAGCACCTACTGTCTGAGGAAAAACTTCCCTGCAACTTTGCTGGTGTCCTTATGAATCCTGAGCTTTTCCCAGCTAGAGCATCCGCCCAAAGAGAGCTGGCCTGGGGCTGCTCCGACCCTTGAAGAGCCAAATATGAAGTAAATAAGAAGTTCAAATTCTCTGCCCTTTATTGCTTCCTTATGATACTTAATGAGCCCTCCCTACACTAATATATCATTTCTGCTCTACTCCCCACGCCACAGTCGCTAGAAATATTCGGGTCTGCCTTCCCTCTGTTTTGCTGGAGGATTCTCTGAAGGACTGAAAGTTGAATAGTGGTATCACAATAGGCTGAAGCCGGAGGTTCAGCTTTCCAGCCCTCAGACAGACTCAATGCCCCTCTCTAACTCAGTTGGAAAGCTGCAGCTCAAATTTCAGCCTATGTTAAGTCACTGTTCAGCTCTGCTCCTTCAGCAAAAGAGAGAGAAGCCAGGAGAGACTTTCTAAAGCAAAAAACTCGGGGGGGGGAAGAAGGACAGGGGAAGGAAGCAAAACACATGGAGATCGTTTTTTGTGCATCAGAAGGAGCAATGACAGGCACAGATAACTTTTCAAACATGCCAGAACAGCTTGAATAAATGGCTCTAACAACAAACATCAAATTGGGGGGGGG